AAAGGGGGCTAAAAGGTACCCTCAAAAGCCAACAGCACACCCAAAGAAGACGGGTTTGCCCTGCATACAAGACACCCAAGTAGGAGGTTCTCTCCACCAACGAAAAAAACGCGTCGCGTGAACCGAGGTGCCGGTGACGCAAGTGCAAGAGGTGGAGCGCACAGAGCACGTTCCCGTGATGGCTGGGAGCCCGACCGGGTCCGATCATTTTTATTTGGTTTTGCAACAGGGCAACGCCCTTTTGAGGCTGGCTGGTTGGTTGGTTGGTTGGTTGGTTGGTTGCTTGGTTGGTTGCTTGGTTGCTTGGTTGCTTGGTTGCTTGGTTGCTTGGTTGCTTGGTTGCTTGGTTGCTTGGTTGCTTGGTTGCTTGGTTGCTTGGTTGCTTGGTTGCTTGGTTGGTTGCTTGGTTGCTTGGTTGCTTGGTTGCTTGGATGGATGGTTGCTTGGTTGCTTGGTTGCTTGGTTGCTTGGTTGCTTGGTTGCTTGCTTGGTTGGTTGGTTGGTTGGTTGGTTGGCTGGCTGGCTGGCTGGCTGGCTGGCTGGTTGGATGGTTCTTCGTTGTCTTGGTTTCGAAGGAATGCCGAGGGGTAGCCAAGTAGTTGGGGGTCCCTGGGTTCATTTTGAGACAAACCATGTCACGTGTGGGTCAGAACCATACGCGTTCTTGAAGTTGCCTTTGGCTTTGCTGGCCGATAGCTCTTCACCGTTTGGAAAAGGACGAGCATGCCGGAAAGAGTACTTCAACAGCTGCAGATTTACCCTGTTCATGGAAGACTGTATACTTAGCTTTGTCATTTGTTTGAGGGGTGCCCGCACTTTCTCCAATTTCTCCACTTTCTCCGATATCCAGTCGCGCGTACCCTCAAACAAAGGACACGCACTTTTCATTTGGACCACCCCCCGATCCTCACGTCGAGCTTTTGGAAAGCGGGTGTCGCGATCACGTCGCCGAGCCTTCGGTGCGCTCCGAAGGTGCCCAGGGATTGGCAGCCTCCGAATCTGCAGGCGTCCCGACCCGGGCTCTTGGCTGGACATGGGTGGCTCGGCTGTTTTTGAGGGGAACCGAAGCCAATGGTTGGTGTCCTTTATGGGAACCCCTAAACAGCCCCCATAAACAGGTTTCTTTGTTTTGGTCGGTTTCCTTTGGTTGCTTTTGCTCTAAAGCTAAGCAGCAGGGAAAATTTCCAGCGAGAGACGTTCCGATCGCCACAACCCGAGGCGTCCGATTTTGGAGCCCGGTCGCATGCCGGAGGGGTTGTGTGCACGGGCTCGAAGCTAAGATCATGGGTGGGGAATAGGATAGGTGTTCAGTCCCAAAACACTAGGCTTCTCCAAAGTACATACACACAAGAAGGGCTTGGGTTTCCCTGGAAAAAGGTTGGCAAGGACCTGGATGTATCTGGAAGGCCAGTTTGGGTTGCTCACTTGGGAAGCACAAGAAGTGTGAAACTGCAGGCATGGCTCATGTTGGTCTCACACGAAGTTGCAGTTGCCACAACCATGTTCCAAAAGGTGATGGCACGATCTTAAACAGCCTGACACGTTGAAATTGAACTGCCTTAACCAGCAACTCCGGAAGGAGGCCACGAGCCCGTGTTTCTCCCCAGCGCCCAAGCTTACGGAAGGTACCCACAGAATCTAAAGGCAAGAACGTGGAAGGCCTCAACTCCGTCTTGGAGAACACGCCTGGGACCTTGTTGCAACGGGGTTGGTTGGAGGTTCAAACCGTTCAGACCTCCTTTGGTGCATGCCTCTTCTTCGTTTTTTGCGGAGAGGGTGTCCTTCAAACTCAATTGCCAAACAAGAGTGCTCCTTTTTCCCATGGCCACAGGGGTTCTGGGGATACCGGCCAGGCTATGGGCATGGCGCCGGCGCTGGCCTCATGCACCGGTCGCATGCAGAGAGTCACGGGATATGTTTTCCATGTTCACGTAGGGTATCCCCCGAATCCGTTCGGCTGGTTGTCCGTGAGTCAAGATGATGGTCTGGGGAAGTTTTACTTTCGGGGTGTTTGGCTGCTTTGGCCCGAGGCCCTTATCCGATCCAGACGGCCTCAGTTACAAAGTTTCAGAACTGGTATGTTCCGACTTGCAGCTTGTATTTGATGGTTTCCTCTGGTTGCTTTCGCTCTTTGAATAGGGTTCCCTTGGTTCTTCAATTTGTAAATGATGGATCCCCTGGGCACTTCAGTTGCATGGTGCTTTGTCTTGTTCTGCCTTGGCTTTTTAGTTGGCTATGAATATTGACACCGCCTCACAAGTGGTTGGTGGACAGAACTCCCCACCTAAAATCGTGTCCGCCAAAGGGTCCCTAAAACTCACGAAAAATGACTCAGTGCTTGCCATTGCCACCACTTGTTCCCAGACCCTGCGTTGCCAAAACCTCGAAACACTGAACACCTATATGGGGCCAACCAACTTACTCATGGCATTTGGTTGTTGGTTTCGGATTTACTCGTCCCATTGGAAAGCAAACCGGAAACCAAGGGAACCCGCCCGTGTTGAAGGTGGGAACCAATTAAACTTCCTCCCAAGAGTTGCCAAAACAAAGCGTTTGCTGTGAATCGTGTGGAGTTGCTCGGGGCCAAGCACCATGTTTAGATGGCTTGGCCTCTCTCGGTCAGATGCGAAGCCACCTTTTGATATTATGTGAGTGTGTGTGTGAGAGCACGTGTTTCTGAGTTACCCCGTTACCCTTTTCAGGTTGATTCACAACTGGAAACCAGAAGGAACACAGCAATTTCGGGGGCTCCCCGCAGTTTGAGCATGCCCAAATCATGGGTTTGTCAACTCCAGCCCAACGCACTTGCCAAAATCATTGGGTGTTCAAAAGCAAAGCTCGGGTCCTCCACAGAACCCGCGGCCAATTTCCCAAAGGCCAGCTCGAGTTGAGGCCCAGCAGATGGTCGCCACCTGAAGGCTCGGAAAGGATCAATTGCCAATATACTCGACCGCGTGTAGGACAAATGCCCCAGTAAAAATGACAAATCCTCTTCAAGCTGGCATATATTTCACATACTTGTTTCTGGGGACAACCGCTTATCACTGTTTTCTGGCGAAACAACGTTTTGGCTTGGGACATCCACTCCCAATCGATCCGCTCTCCACAGAGACCCATTGGCCGTGCCGGAAGAGTCCTTTTGACAGGTCAAAAGCACTTGGGTGACTTTGAAGCGGACAATCATGGTGCCAGCAAGCCGCAAAATCAAGTGAAGGACCGCTGTAGAGGGTCTCGTCGAGTGCAGGCGCGAAACGAATGCTGGCCTGTGCCAGCAGAAACAGCCGTGAGAGAGGAAATTCGTGCTGTGAGGCGGGGTTGGGCAAAGAGTCAGGCTTCCGAGGATGATGTTGTGGGAAATCAAATGCGCAATTTTCGGAGGTCTTGCAACTTCCTTTTCTAGACGTTTTGGAAGACGCCCACTGATCGGTTGGAGCTCCAGCTGCTTTACCATCCCTGTGTTTGGGGCATGTTCTGTGTTTTAGCCGGACGTCAAGCGGCTTGACTCCATTTGTCCAAAATTATGTTTCGTTTCGTCCCGGTTTAGAAATATGAGATCCTTGTTGTCCAACAGGGACGGCCCTTTCCGTCCCCAGCAAGGCTGATGGCTCGCCTATGTTCCAAACCCTGGAGCTGGGGCCCAATAGGCCGAGCGAAGCCCGGCTTGTGTCCGAAAGCTGTGAGATTGCAGGTCGGGTTTGAGCGCCGGAGGCCGACTTGCGGTCTCTGCCCTATGCAAGTCATGTCCTGAAAGTGGGGTCACAATGGTCACCCCCTCTTTGGGATGGGGAAAGGGAAGCAAACATGTCTTCTTTGTTTTCTGCTTTGGGAAACAGCCAAATCTTCTTTCCAAGAGTTAGTTCACAGCTGAGTCCCTCTTGGGACTAATTCTCTGGCAAGGAAAGCTGGGGTGTTTCCGAGGATTGGGGACCAACCCTTGTTTCCAGCTGAAGCGTTCGTGTGATGGTACGAACTCATGCACACACGGGCATGCCCCGGTTTAAGTGGTGATTCTAAGCGAGAAGTGGCCAAAGTATGACGACCACCGGTTGGGAAAATAAATGGACCCCCGGTTTCAAGTGCAGAAATCGTCCTTTTTGGAGTCCAACTTGATCGGTCGAAAAGTCCTGGCCCAAGGCAACCCCCTTTTTCGAGGGCAGAGGCCGACAGTCCGCCCGCGCACCGCGCGCAAGCTGAAGTTTGATTTGACGCTCCTGTCAAGTGGAAAAAATCCGGATGCGGCCGGAGCGGTTCATAGCATGGTCATTGAAAGTGGGCCCATCGCGTTCCGTTGACTGGCTCATGGCAGGCTTGGACGTGACAAGATCTTTGAACGGCCTGGGTTGCTTTTTAAAATCATTTGGCAAAGTCGAGAGACCCCCAAAAGTCGAAAGGGGGTCCCTTTGTTTCCTCAAACAAATCCGTCAAAAGGCAAGCCCTGGTTTCCTGGTCACGTGGCGCTGCCAGTGCCTCGCTTAGAGGTGAAAGTCACAGAACTGAACTTGGGAAAGCCACGGGCCAGTGCAACAAGGCGGATGGGGTCTCTATGATTCACGGTGGTCCCTTGAGACCGTTTGAAAGTTTTTTTCTCAGACGACCTCTAGGATTTCCTTTGCCGGAAGTTGGACATATGTCTTTGGGTCCCGGCCCTAGGTGGACCGCCGAAAACAGCAATCAAAGGCTGAATGTATGAGTTTCATGTTGATATTATCATTGTATCAACCCATGGATATCATGTTTAATAGAAGCGCAGCTACAGGACATTCTATAGGAAGCTTGCCTTGGCCTTTGCCGCAGTTTTCAGACAGGCGACCAGCAACCCACCTCAACCCAACCCTGCCATGCTTTGGTCCTCTGACGTCCTAACCCCTAAGACTTAGGCAGACATTAGGCAGACATCTCCCGCCCAAAAAACGATATTTCCTGACAGGGGCTGAAGGGGGTTTAGGACCAACACTAAGCTGCAGATGGCTCGCAACAAGTCCGCTTCGGCCAAGCAGGCAGCGGTCCCAGCGAGCCACTTTTCCCACTCCGAGCCGAGCTTGGCGCTGTAGCTGGATGGAAGCTCAAAGACTTGGCGCGATGGCATGAAGGAGAGCACGCCTCAGAAGGCGCACCGCCAGTGCCGCCCTCTGAAGGGAGGGTCCCTTTATGTTCCACACTTGCAGGTCAATAGATCAACCATGATCAACCCCATCCCCATCGTTCATGGGCACACTCATATTCTGCGAGCCGGTAATTGTTCGCAACCCAAGTTTAACTCCGATGGTTTGTTGTGGCCACTTCGCCGATTCCCGATCCAGTTGAGCGGTTCCAAGTTCATTAGCTTTGCGCCTTGATCTTTTGCTTTCGAAGTTGTATCAGCGAAAGGGCCACAGTTGCTTTCTGCCCTGCTTCTATTTGCCCAAATTGTTGGGTCCAGCATGAAGCTAGGGGCTGATTCCCCTAGTGAATTTGTCATTGGCGATTTTCAGTGGATCACGCTAGAGTTTTTCCTGATCAGCACTGCCAAGCGAGCGGTGGGTGAGACTAGGCCCACATGAAAATCCCTGCAACCCCTGCACTGGTCAATTCGGCGTGAGCTGGGTTTGTGTCAAATGTCGCAGAGCCCTCCAGTTGGTTTCTTTTTTCAGTGACCCTTCAAATAGGCAACAGCCGCATTTGCATACCGGTAGATCTTCGAGTAGGGCCCCCCAAAATGGTGGTCTTCCCTTTGGGTTTCCTCAAACAAAAATGATGGAACCCTCCAAAAAAGCCACACGGTGAGGTTTAGACCCGCAAAGCCACTTCCCTTTTCACCCCCCAAGCACCGGACAGCTTTTTTTTTTTGAGCGACACATGTTATGCAAAGGCCAACCCCCTCCCCTCAAACCCTTCCTCCCTCAACCAACAGCTAGAATGGCATGTGTTGACTGCGGTCAGACTAACACCTGGCTCATTCCCCCCCCATTTCGAGACCGGGCCCTGGGTTTCGGTGTCGTCCCATCCCACTGCCGCAGCCGCAGGCCTGGTTTCGGCTCCCCTTTGGCCATGGCTATCAGCTGCTGGCGCACGCCCCTGGCCCCAGCGTGTTTCGCGCATTCGCGGGGGCTCAACTCAACTCAACCTACCAAAAAGGATGCCCTCTTTTTCCCACGGCCACTGGGCATCTGAGAGTTTGACAATGGAAAGGCGTCGACTCGGTGTAGCAGGAAGTTGCGGCTTCCATGTGCCCAGAGGGTCCAAGTAGCTCATAGGTTCGCGGTGGGTTTGATTCAAGGGACTTCGTGTACAGGCAAATCCGCAAAAGGGCGCCAAATGGAACCAAATTTAGGCCTCCAAGACATGGGTTCAAACATGTTCAAACATCAAGCCCGAGCTGAAACTTGCTTTTGGCAGTGGCGCATCAGGCCACCAGGAATTCATCTCTGACCCCTCGCCTTTGGGCCTTTGGTTTGGTCCCTTTGGTTTCCCTTGGGTTTCCCTTTAAACCACCCCAGAAAAGGGTACCCGCAAAAATATCCCTGAAAGAAAAGGGGTCAACTTTGGTAAAGCCTGGCTCCAAGCATTGGGTGTGACAGCTACCAAGGGACACGTTCCTCGATTTGAAAAGTGAGAAATCAGGAATCCTCAGATGCCCTGTTGGAGCCATCAAACAGAACATTCAGGTCAGGTTAGGAGGGGAACTGCAACCATCTGAAACAAGCATAAAACGACCGACCGAACGACAGACCAACCATGAACTGCCAAATAGGCAGACCGACTACGTACCAGACAGAGACAGGCAAGCAAGCAACCCAACCAACAAAACACAACAAACAAGCAAGCAGACAGACAGGCAAACAAACAAACAATGAAACAAATATATTAAATAGAAGCAAGCACATCACAACACCCCGTTTGCAGGAGCTCGCCCTTGGCCGACCAAGGCCTATCGCTTTCCGAGTCAGGAGTTGTCCAGAGCGAACTTGCCACAGGCGCCAGTGGGCGGAGCTGGACAAAGCGTTGGTCGAGTTCGGTTTCTCAAAAAAGGAATTTAGCAGGGCTCCTTAACTTCCCCAGATTTAGTTTCCCTTTTTGATTTTTTTGCTTTTTTGTGGTTCCCTTTGTTTGCCACTAACCAGGCAAAAACATATTTTTTGCTGGGGTCCTAATTCCAGCCAAGTTAAAAGATACATTTTGCCAGTGGGTCAAAAATAGGGCAACCCCAAAATGAACCCTGGTAAGTGGCAACATGGACCAAAACCTGTGGTCGCCTGGTGGTTTAATTTTGACCCACACCCATTTGAAACATGGTTCTTTTTCAACACCAAAGTTGGAAACCACCGTTTACAAGGCAATGTTGTATAATGTAAGGATCCCTGTTTAGTCACCTACAATTTCCGTTACCTGGTTGACCTTGGGGGGGGGACATTCTCCAGAAAAAAATGGCAGGGTTCTTCTATTGATTCCCTTTGAGTACAAACCGAACGAGAACCTTCCGTCTCGAAGCCATGAGTCTGTTTCAATTGGCATGTCCCGCAACCAGAGCCGTAGCTGCATAGTTTCCTCAAAATGAGTGCTGGTTTTCCTTTGTAACTGCAAAAAAAGGGGTGCCCTCCAAAAGTGACACACCAAACTGGGCTTTGAACTCGAGCCTTCGCTGTACGGCAGGAAGGCCAGGCGAAGGGGTACGGTAGATGCCTTCTGGTCTCTGGTACCGAGTCCAACTGCATGTTTTGGGTACTCGTTAAACGCGGGCCTGGGATATTTGATGTATCTCATAGAATTCCCCTTAAATGCCATTGTGTAAACATGGCTTCTGCTTTACCTTCAAAAGGATGTGCCTTGGTGGTCCTTCGAAAACATATAGGGGGCCCTTGAACACATAGGTCTCCTTTGTCTGTGCCTCTCAAAGTGTTCTTCCTTTCGGTTTCCAGGCCAACCCTTGCAAGCTGGGGTGGCCAAACCCCTTCGGTGCACATGTAGTTCTCACTGCAGGAAGGCAAACCGTGAACAGCAAGGTGTTGTTCAAAGTTTCTCTGGCAGAACCACTGCGATTTTTGTTTGTGGCCGGAATTCCGTCTACGGCTTGGACGTTTGCCACCCCTTGGCCTGGAAACCCAACTTGTTCCGGGCTTTGGCTGCTGAACTGCGAGCTGTGTTTGCCCTTCTCTCGCAGGTTGCAGTGAAGACATGGGCCTCGGTGGCGGCTGTCTACCAGGAGTTTCGTGATAGGAGGGCATGGCAAGGAGAGGTTTCTTGGATTCTGCCAGAGCATCGCCAATCTCATGATTCTTGACATGTTCCAGTTGACCTCAATTGAGTTGTGAAAGCTAAGAGCGACTGCTCCAAGATGGATCATTGTTGAGTCTGCCAGCAGGCAAACATATATTATTTCACTATGATCTGTGGCTCCAAACTGCTTGCAGCTCGGCGCGTTGGGCTGGGCATGGAGTGCGTGCTGCCGGCGGCCCGCGCGCCTGCCGGCTGCATCCCGGGCTTCTCGCGTCGTTTCTTCCCCCGTGCCTCGGGGAGGCGCGGCTTTTTGGGCGGCCCAACCTGCTGGGTGCTGTGCGTGGCCTGCCAGCTGCGCCGCAGGGCCCGGGGACTTCGGGCGGTTCAGCAGCAGACGGAGCACGAGCACTCGAGCGCCAAGGTGTTGGTGCTTGAAGGGTGTGGCAAGGAAGAGGTCAATGGCATTTACCTGCGTCATGGCGAATGTCATGGAAGGCATGAGTGGAGAAAGCCAAAGGCTGCAATCTGCTGGAATGTGGACCAGTCACGCATGTGGGGCATTTACATTGCCCGTCGAGACTTGCGTTGTCGTGTTGGCCATAGTTCGCGTCAGACAATAGCTTGTCCAACGGGCGGATGGATCCTGGAGGGGGGATTTGAATTTGAGCCCCCTAAGATCACTGAAGCAGAGTGGCAGCCGTTCAGCGCTGTGGTTTTAGCGGATGACAGCCGTTTGAAACAGCTCATGCAATCAAACGACTGCTTTGGGTGGGAACCTACGATTGGGGAGTACAGTGGTCGCCTTGGCTTTGTGGAGAGACAGAGGAGTGCAGGAACTGTCATAGTCCAGTTTGATAGCGCAAATTTCGAACTTCATCCGCTGGCAATTTTGCCTGCGCCGCTCTCGACACAGGAGCTGAACACACCAGTCATTGCCTTGACGAATTCAGGTTTTGCAGGCATGGATGGTAGATACTACTGCGTTAAAATACAGAATGGTCGGCCCAAGTGGGAGAAAGGTGAGGAACGCGAAAAGTGCTCGATTTGTTGGGATGGCGCGAAGTGGGGCTTGTTTGAAAGTCAGGACTTGAGGTTGGTCAGCAACTGCAAGTCAACTGGCTGCCCAGTGCGAGGTTGGGCTGACGTGGACGGGGGCAATGCCAACCCCCGCTTTGTGGGGGAGCAGCCAGGGAGCTTCTACGATGGTGACGCAGTGCAGGTTTTGCCCAATATTGAAGAAGTGCGGTGCATCCAGAACGGCCACAACTCTGGATGGAATCAAAGCATGGCCAAGTACTGCGGGCAGCACGGCTTTGTTGAATCAGCAACTGAGGAACGGCTGCGCGTGAGGTTTGACACGGGCAGGCTATGGTCATACAGCCCACGTGCTGTCTTAAAGACGCCAGAAGGGCAGCATGACTTGATGTCAGCGGTTATCGAGGTAAAGAACTCTGGGCATGGCCTCATGGATGGTGTGTTCATGCGAAAAGGGTTGCACAATGGCCGGCCACAATGGGTGAACCTTGATGGTCCAGGTGGCTTTGGCATTCTTTGGGATGATGACTGCAAGTGTTGGGGAATTCATTCACGCAGGCGGTCTCCTGAAGACAAGGTTTTCATCAGCAATTGCAACACTCGGGGCTGTCCTCGTGATGGCTGGAGGCATGTTGACGGTGACAAGCCTTTGCAGTTGACTCTCACTGGACGAAATGATGTAGTGCCTTTGCCAGCATCTTCAAACAGCAGCGCAGAAAGGCAATTATTGCAGAAGCTGGCGGAAGACGGGGGCATGGAGTTCCTGAAGGTGATGAAGGCTTGGAAAGACGATCAATCAGGCCGCGCTCGCCGAAAGAGCCAAAGCGCGGAAGAGGCCATGACTTGTTGAAAGTGGACTGCGAGTCGCGAATCAAACAAGGCATTTAGATGTTAATTGTTATCTTCACGTATCGTCATGTTGGGGAATAAGAGATCCCTTTTACTGCCGAGAGTCTCGCACATTAAGAAATCCAAGGCTTTCCCAGACCCTCGCAACGGAGCCTGGCAAAACTGGGGCCGGGCCCATTTGAAATTTAGCGCCTCCGGCTCAAGCCGCCGACATAACAGGCCTGCTTTCTCATACGCGTGTCAAAGCTTTAAGCCACGCAGATTTTAAGACGTTAAGCCACTAAGATTTTTGGATTTTACTCCATTAAGATTCTGCGGTTTGAAGCCATTAAGATTTCAATATTGTAGGCCATTGTTATTTCAGGCCTTAAGTCATGAAGATGTTACCACGTCAAGCCACCAATATTTTAAGATTGTTTTCCATTCAGATGTTCACAGTGTAGTAATCCATTTAGGTGTTTAGGTTTTCAGCCAAAAACAAGGTTAAAAAGGAAAGCCATTCTGACAATTTGTTGCTCCATAATTGCCCAAGACGCATGTACAGGTTGTGCGAAGGGCGCCGAGGACCGCGGGAGGTCCAGGGCCAGGGGAACTCCTCCCTGGCACAGAGGAGCTTCAGCCGGGAAGGGCCCCCAGCAGGCTCCGGCGGCTGAGGAAGCCGCAGCCGACGAGCCAGTTCCGGAAGAGCAAGGACAAGGAGTTCAAAGAGCTTGAGATCAAAGATCCAAAGCCGGTGGTGGAGGAAGATTCGGATTGGGGAGATTGGAAGCCCAGGTGCGATCCCTACCCGGACGAGGTAGGGGAGCAGGACCGGAGGCAGCAGCAGAGCCCAGGCCCCGAGTCCGGACCGCCCGCCGGCTGGTAACCTCGACTGAGCACTTATCACGACCGGGAGAGAAGCGAAGCGAGCAGGCAGTTTCGGATTCTCAAAAAGGCTTGCTCAAGCAGTCTGCAAAGTACGGTGAGCCTCCATCCCAGCAATCGCGCGAGGAGATTCAGCGCTTCAGGCACGGCGTATAGGCTTTGAAGAGGAAGACGAGACGCCTGCTGAGCCGGCCCCTGTCAGGCCGAGGAGTCCTAGCCGCTCGTTACCGAAGAGGCGCAGGACTCACTCGCCGCCGCAGCAGAGAAGAGCGAAGCTCCTCATGCGAGGAGCAGCCGGCAGCCGCAGCAGGTCCTGGGTTTCCTGTCTTGCCGGAGGTGGTTCTGTGAGGCCAGTGTGCTCGGGCGGATCATCCTGGTTCATCCGCTGATACAGGAGAGCGCGCTAAGGTGAGTGAGGCCCGGGCAGGTCAGCGCCAGAGACGGACTTGCGTCCAACTACCGCCCGCCGTGCAGCTATTGCCCAAGAGATTCAGGAGCGAAGGCTGTCCGACGAGGTGGCGACTGTTCAGCTCCTGTGACGATCGGAACAGGCATTGCGTCCGGCGCTGCTTCGTCCGCAGGGCAGCTGAGGTTGCCGCATGTCCGCCGACATCAGCCCCAACTGGTGGGTACAGCATCCAAGACGTACTAACATCGACCCCACCCGTGTCGTTGCAGCCAAGCCCAAGGACTGCACGAGGCCTCCATCTACGACACCGTTGCAGCAGGTTCCCAAGTTGAAGGCTTCTCCAAAGCCCAGGCCTCAAGTCCTGCTGCAGCCGGCCAGGAAAGGCAGGTGAGTGAGGTGGAGATGGAAGAGGAGGCCAAGAGACACCAGTCCTCCCCACAGAAGAGGCAGTTCTTGCCACGCCAACCTGTAAAGAATGGCAAGTCCGGAAGACTTGGCCCAGCTCAGGGCCACTGTAAACCAATTGCTTGAGGAAAATAGAGCCGCGAGCCACTCAGGAGGCGCAGGCAGCAAGCAAGTTTGGCAGCATCGGCGCAAGGCACAAGTTAAATTGGCACAGGCGTTGAGGAAAGAAGCGTCTGGTTGACACGAAAGGGATTGGTAAACCGGAACATTTTCACAACGAAGAGCAGAATAACAACCTTGTCAGGTACCAGCATATTCGGAAAGGAGAATGAAACCGTGCTGGAACGGTGCCTCGATCAGGAAGAAGAGATCACCATCGATGCCTTAGAGTAGTGCCCGCTTTCAGTTTCTGGCGGCAGCACACATTCCGGCAGATGATGCTGTGCCAGCCGGACAAGGAGAGGAGCATGATGGGGCACCTGACGGCCGAGAGGCTGAGGAGCGCAAGGCAACCGGCCGCGTACATCTTGAAACTATTTGTCAATCATAAAGTCACAACACAAAGATGAGGAGGATAATGGATAATGGGTGATATTTCTTTCATCTGCAAATTCATCCAGATTCTCGCGAATTCTCTTTGGTCATCAATTTCTGAATTTCGGATGTCAAAGATAAAAGCTGACAGGTAACCACGAATAATAACCAATATAGGTGTACATGGTGCAGGCATTGTCTTGCCAGCCAGCAGCATTGAAGCAGCTGAAGAAGCCAAGGAGGGCAATGAGCTCGCGATCATTGCGTGTGATTACACGTGGATGACCAAGGATGGGAAGGAAGACGGGAAGGCGCGACGCGTTGTTGACTTGCAGCCATTTGTAGATGCTAAGGGACCCACACCTTATGCGGTGAAGTTCATGATGAGTGAAAGCAGGATTGGAAGAGGTCAGGAAAGCTTACGGTTGCCCCTGCACCTAAGTTCCAACCCAGAAGCCGGCAGCAGAGGTCACCGCAGAAGAGTTGAGAGAGGAGACCACACCGGCTGCAGGAGCCGGAGCGAACAGGCAAGGCCCTTGGGGGCGAGTAGACGGAGTCTGGACCATGATGGAGAGACAGGTTGAACAAGCTTACAAAGCCAAACTCAGTTCAACTACTAATCTCTGCTGCGAGATGGGTACTGTGGGTTTGCTGGAGGTGTGCAGCCCAGAGAGGTTCACAAAAAGAAAAATCTGTTTGGCCTAGAGGAACAGAAACCGGACGATCCTACTGGGATCTTCTGAGTCTGGAAGTCGTGAAGCACGTCAAGGATTTGATCGGCAAGGACAAGCCGATCCTGTTGACTGGTAGTCCAGCATGTGACCAGTTCTCTTAGTTATAGAAAATTAACATGTACAGGATCAGCCCTGATCAGCGCCAATTGAATATGA